TTGGTGCACTCCAGATGGATACAGATGTGTCTGTGTGAGTGTGTGTGAGCAGAGGTCCTTCTAGGACTTGGACTACTCGCACTCGGATCGAGCTGTGGGCCGGAAAGCATCGTCATGGCCACAGAGACAGACGACGACTCGGACTACGACTCCGACTCGGACTCCGACGCAGTCGGACGATGATGTAGCTGCACGGATTGATTTACGTTCGAAAAGATTTCTCAACTGTGCAGCCGCCGGACCCCCAGCCCCACATTCGCATTCCCCATCGACCAGGGTCAACTGTACATTTTTATACCCGATACTCAAAATGAGTATTGGGGTATATTAGATTTGTGGTAAAAGTGGATGTGTGTAACGTCCAGAAGGAATCGTTTCCGACCCCATAAAGTATATATATTCTTGATCAGCATCAATAGCCGAGTCGATTGAGCCATGTCTGTCTGTCCGTCTGTCCGTCTGTCCGTCTGTCCGTCCGTCCGTCTGTCCGTCTGTCCGTCTGTCCGTCTGTCCGTCTGTCCGTCCCCTTCAGCGCCTAATGCTCAAAGACTATAAGAGCTAGAGCAACGATGTTTTGGATCCAGACTTCTGTGATATGTCACTGCTCCAAAAATATTTCAAACTTTGCCCCGCCCACTTCCGCCCCCACAAAGGGCGAAAATCTGTGGCATCCACAATTTCGACGATACGAGAAAACTAAAAACGCAGAATCGTAGAAGATGACTATATCTTCTAGAGTGCAAAATCTGAACCAGATCGTATAATTATTACAGCCAGAATCACGAAAACAATTTCACTCTTTCTCGCTCTGTCTCACTCTAACACACAGGTTTCATGGTCGGTTTTGCCAATTGCAAAATATGAGTTCAAGGATCTCAGAACCTATAAAAGCCAGAGCAACCAAATTTGGTATCCACACTCCTGTGATATCGGACCTTGACCGTTTCCTGTCCAAATTTCGCCACACCCCCTTCCGCCCCCGCAAAGGACGAAAATCTGAGGCAACCACAAATCTCAGAGACTATTAAGGCTAGAGTAACCAAATTTGGTGCACACACTCCTTTAAGATGTCACTATAAAACGTATATCTCAGAATTTCGCCCCACCCCCATCCGCCCCCACAAAGGACGAAAATCTGTTGCATCCACAATATTGCAGATTTGAGAAAACTAAAAACGCAGAATCATAGATAATGACCATATCTATTAGATTGCTGAATCTGGATCAGATCAGATCATTTTTATAGCCAAAAGGAACAAATCAATTTGCAGTGGCTACGCAGCGCCCGACGTCACGCTCAGACTGATTTTCTGTCTCTCTCGCACGCACTCTTTGTCGTGTCGTTAAATATTAGCGGCGTCTGCCGGAGGAGAGCCATACTGACTTAGTATCGGGTATAACCGTAGAGTTGCGGTGTCCGCAGCAACTCACAACGTTCCCCCTCGTTCTATATGTTTTGTTTGGTTCTGTTTCATTTTGAGCTTCTGCCTCTGTTTGTATTTCTGTTTCGTAGTTTTGCATTTGGTGCCGGGGCCCAACGACGACTGAGATTTATCAAAAGGTAATTTATATATGTGGGTGTGTAATTTATCCCTGCACCATTACCCCCCTCTCTCAGAGAACCCAGTGGCTTGTTTGCCCTGCTGTCTGTTTGGCTTTAGTTCTCCTCAGAGCGAAGTCTTCAGTCCCGAGTCCCCGATCCCCAATCCCCGAGTGCATTTTGCATTTTATGTACGCAACATTTTTAAGAGTATTTCGTTGAGAATAAATCGCCTGCCCAAGCATGACATATGACCGAAAAGCTTCGAGATGGAGTCTCGTCCAGAGAGAGAGAGAGAGAGAGCGAGAGCATGGGCAAAGTAAATAGTTTGGGATGCAATCCAAAAGATTATTTTTTGCGGGTTTGAGTGAGATACAAACCGAAACAGAGGGAGAGAGACAAAGAGAGAAAGAGAGAGACTTCTGTTTGGGAATAATCCCTCCCACCCCCCGGGAAACCTTAATCTGAGTGCCAGGCAAAGCAAATGCATAAATTCAATTTACCGAAAGAGCTCCAGCCCCAACCCCAGCCTCAGCCCCGAAAGGAGAAAAAAAACAGTTGCATAATTTAACGCCGACCATCCATGGATCTATGTGGATGGGACCTGCCATCAATGGGTGCTGGATGGCAAGTAAAAAATTGCAAATCGAATCGCGAAGCAAGCGACCAACAAACATCCATTGGTTCGGGGGGACGGGGACATACTGAAACGTCAAGAGCACTCCGCCGACAGTTACACGCCTAAGCCCCTGAACCCGCACCCGCACTTGCACTCGGATCAGAGGAGTACGACCACGATGCCACGATACCATGCCAATGCCAATGGCCATGTGAATGGTATAAACATTGTTGACATTTGCCAAACCTACTTTAATCACTTTTTAACCCCATTTGATACAGTGTCAGCGTGCATGGGGCCACGGAAACGGCCACGGGACCGTAGCGGCTCATAAAATGGACAGTCCGCACTCGACTTTTGTCTGGCGGGAGCCCTGCCCCCTGGCCCCAGCCCCCTGCCCACAGTCCTCGGTCCAGACCAGCCACATTGAATGCAGGCTGGAAGGCTGCAAAAAAGCAACCACACTGACAAAAAATCCCAATGACAAACGCAGAAAGAAAGCAAAAACCAACAAAAGCAAACACAACCAAGCGAAAAAAAGCATTACGTAAAATGGGAGTCCAAATATGGGGGGAATGATAGCCATAGCCATAGCCATAGACATGGACACGGACGCGGACTCGGACATGGATGTGGATATGGGGATATGTGGATGTGGCCCTGCCATGACCCGTTGGCCCAGCTGCCAAAGCAATTGATTTACTGCACTTTGTTTGCCAAAAATTAATTGAGTTGATGACAAGTGCAATTGATTTATGCGGGACTCAAATGAGTGTGGACAGAACAGACGAACAGACGCCTGGACAACGGATGGATATCATCGGATGGACACTGGCAATTGGAATGGGACTGGAGCCGTGTTGGGGTTGGATTTGGGCTGTTTTCCGAATGGGGGTAATGGGTTGTCGCCATCGCCATCGGTTACAACATGCGGGCAGGCACAAGATCTACTCATGGATTAACACTATTCCCCGCAGTGGAACTTCCGATGGCCCGAAAAGACCAAACGCCAACCCCCACTATGGCAGGTGTCAAAGTTGAAAAGAAACACCAACCATCCATGGAGCAACCATCCATCCAGTGCCGACTCCCAAAGACCCTACCCCAACAAGAACAACAAGAGCCGAGCCACGGAAAAGAATCAGCAAAAGAGTCTAGTCTACCCCTAAGGAGGCTATCCCAAAGACTGCACCCCAAAAGTATTACCATAGAGTATTACCAAAGAAACAATACCCGTGGAAAGGTTTGGCCCTGGTCCGGGTCCGTGTTGTGTAACGGAAGCGTGCCGCGCACACATGTCGTCCGACCGGGGCCCAGGTTTTAGGCCAAAAAAGCAACACGGGAAAGGGGCCAACGGCAGAGGTGGGAAAACGCAGGGACAGACGCAACGGAAATAAGCGCCAACCGGATGCCAACAAACGAAGCAAATGATTCATTTCCGATGATGCGACAGCGTCCTGCGTTTTCCCATTGCCAGGTTCAGGTTAGCCGTGTCTCCTGTGAGCACTGGATCCTGGCTGGTGTGTCGTCTGCCCACCAAAAATTTGCATGAAATGTGAAATCAAACGGCTCGCGGCTGGCTACAACAAATGGTGCACGAGTGGAGCAGCAACAGGACCAGGACCAGCAGGGGGACCAATGGACGAAGTGGAGCTGGAGCTGGAGCTGGAGAAGTCGTCGTCAGCAGGCGTCGTTGGTGTCACGTTCTCATTCACGTGCAGGTTGACGGACGCCCGTTGCCATATTTTATGACTGCCGCCAGATCGCCCTCTTGTATGGTGTGTGTGTGTGTGCTATTGATATGCTAACGGTAAATGCTTTAGGTGGGCGGACGGGGGAGTGGCTACCTCTGGATTTGACGGCTGTACGGAAGTGGTTAAAGCGACCTCGCCTCGACACTGCAGCTGGATGTGGTGGATGTGGAGCTGGCGTTGGAACGGGAGGACGACATCTGTCGCGGGCGACGTGTGAAATTTTTTAGCCAAAAATTTTGCACTCTTCTCCTCGGCCGTGGCCGTGGCCATTTATAATGCCACCGATGTGTTCTGGCTCAGGGAGAACATGGACATCCAGCACCAACGACGACGACGACATATTGGAAATCAAAATGTTGACATACAGCAGGGACAACATTTTTCAATTAAGCCGATGACAACACACGACCCCGGGGGCAAGCGCTGAGGCAGGAGATGCAGATGAGGCCAAGGATGGGGCATGGAGAGTTTGGAGACCCAAGGGCTCGAGTCGCAGATAACATGGCTAATAATAATTAAATAAATTTACCGAAGGAGAGTGCCTGATCTTTGTGTTCCTGAGCTCTTTCTTGTTAAGTAGCGGTGCCACGTAGAACAGGAAAACCATAGCACTTTGGGAAATACGCCTTGTCGTTCTTATTAAGCAACAACAAAATTAACAGAGTTCATCACTGTTATGTTAACAGCTGTCAAAAGCTGTTTGCTAGCGAGAAGCAAGTGTTTTTGCAAGAATTCAATTCCGAAAGGTATTTAATATGTATTTGTGACTTTTAACTTTGGAAATTGTCTTATCGGCTAATTGTTTAACGAGAATAAATTTGGGACGAAACTAGGCTTTGAAGAGGCCCACAAAATGAGTCAAACCTATTTCAAATATAAGATTTAATGCATATTATAAAATAAATAAATAAAACCAATCATTGCCACTTTCTCTGAAAGCCCAGTAAATAAGCACGGAATTGGGATAGTGAATAGCTTTCTCCGTAGATCTACAGAATCCCGATCGGTATGCGAGACTCTATGTTTACTTTTAGGAAAATTGTCTTAGGTTGTTCCACTATGAAAACTTCCAATAAAACACTTGATGAACATTAACACGTACACGGGGAAATTTAGCTGTTCATTTAGTTTTTGATGTGTAAAAAGAATTCCCATCGGGCGACTGCTATTGGGCTGTTGGGCTGTTGTGGGATGATGGTTACCGCGGCAGTTCTCTGTTGGACAGCACTCACTGGCAATTGTTCACAGGATCGGGGGATGTGCATCCCCTCATCTGTGGCTCATTCGCCAGTGACTGCTGCCAGTGGTGTCGCATCTTTGGATGGTGGTGTCGGTAGCCGGATTCCTTGAGAGCAGTCGCTATACCATTTTCCATGAACTGGACAACTAATTGACCACCGCCAGGACGATGGTGATGTCATCCATCTTCAAGTTGCGGCCAGCTGGTCGAACGTTGCTGCAGGCGGCTGCGCGTGCCATCAGCGCCAGGGTTTCCGCATACAGGTGCATTCGACGGGGGTCTGTGCCGCCGTCGAGTTCGGTGATCAGGGACAGCACGCACTCATCGTCCACATTGTCGAAGAACCCGTCGGTGCCCAAGAGCAGCATGTCGCCCACCTCGACGCAGAGCTCCTGAATCGGCGCCTGGTAGGGATCTCCATAGAGGTAGGCGCCAACCCCCTGGAACTGGGTGCTAAACAGCTGAAGCTGTTTTCTCGAGCGAGCAGCTATTCGTCCATTTCGCACCACCAGGAAGCCGCAACCACCGACGTTTGTCGCGTAGACGGTGCTTGTGCGGCGGTCCAGGCTGAGCATGCAAGTGTTGCAGCTGGCCAGGACAGGATGGCGCACATCCAGCACATCGCGATGGGCCCGGTGCAGGAGCACGTCTAGGCGACGAGGATCGTGGCTGGGCATCCGGGCCAGACGCTCGCAGGAGCGCATCAAGGAGTAGCTAAACACTCCGGGAGAGAGGTTACAGATCCGCCCGCTCTTGACGCCGTTGGCCTTGGCCACGCCCAGTGTCTCGCCGCGGCTGGTGCTGGTCGCGAACCAGGCATCCTCCCCGCACTGCCCCAACATTGGGCACACTGCATGCTTCTTCGGTATGCCGCATGCCACGCTCAGCAGCCGCAGCTCCTTCGGCCCGTACATCTTCCAGCCATGAATGTCTTTTGTCTCCGGCTTCCCGGCATCAATGATTTGTTGTTCGTATTCCTCGACCAGCTCTCGCAGTCGCCCATAACCACGGAAGAAGGGTCTGAGCAGATTCATGCATTGCCCGCCGCCGAATGTGGCGGCGCGTTGAGCCAAGTAGACACCGCCATTGGTGACACGGCTGACCAGGCGAAAGCCACCCGTGGAGAGCACGTGGGCAAGCCGTGATCCGGTGGTGCCAACCCTGGTGGTGGCCTGGTTGATCATCCGACCGCCGTTTGTATATGCATTCTCGTAGACGTGAGTGCCGCATGCGATGGCCTGCTCCAGTAGATCTTCGCCATCGGCCGACAGCATTTCTCCGATGCGTGTGATCCTGGCGACAAGCTCGTCTCCAATGATGCAGGCCTGCTCGAAGAGCTGTGCGCCGCGGTAGCAGCAGACCTCAAATAGGTTTCCGCCTCTGACGACTGCAATGTCCATAAGTTCGGCGAAGCTGAGGCGTGCACGGCAAACCACGCGGGCACTCCTTGTGGCGACGACATCGAGCATTTTGCCACTGACTGAGATCACGATCCTGATCACTAGCCCACTCCCCCCCACGACGATCTTGATCAGGTGGCCGCCGCCGCTGGCCGCCTTGCCGATCATCATCTGCACGAAGGTCAGCAGCTGTGTCTCCATTCGCTGGATTCCGGAATTCAATCGCACAAGTCTGTCCATATTCTGTAGGGCACAAGGAAGGAGAGCTTTACCCCTTACAATTCGAAGATGAGTACGGCCCAGAGATAATTACGAACCAATTGAGTTATTTTAACATCAAGCGATGGGTTATTATTCTTGTGTGATCTTTTGTTGGTGTCTCGTCCGAGATAAAAGAAATCCTATTAAAAAAACGATCTGAAGTTCTGTACAAAACGACTAACGAATACCTTATGACATTTTCCTTGACTGTTTTGGAGTCGGGGGCAGGGCTTGCTTAGTTCAAACAATACTGTTATGACAGAACAGTAAAAACAGTTCCAGTTCAGAAATTTCTAAGGTTGAGGCCAAACTATGACCGTTAATCTCTGGTTTAGAATTAAATCTGGTACTCCTGAGTCTATGAATGCCTGTAAATACATGTCTCTGATAGGGACATAATCCTCTGTATCCCATCTATACTTCCATAATCATTTAGCTGGCGCCACACTCCCTATCGCCCTCGTCCTATCCCTTGCACTGCACTCCTCATGGTTAGCTCCGTCTCCTATGCAGTTCTCCAGAAGCGGGGCACGGGCACGGGCACGGGTCTGGGGCTCAACTCAATTATGCACAATTACGGACACAAACAGATACCAAGTGGCAGGAGTGGCGGGACGGGAATGAGGTAAGTATGCAGATGATATCTACACCTCTGCCCCATCCCGGGCTCTGTATGGAATTGTGCAATTTTTTGGCTGCTGGGTATCCCCCATGCAGCTGCAGTTGCCGTTGCAGTTGCAGATGTGGCACTCGAATTGCATGCATAGCTCATTGCTTGCCACTCGACGTGGATGAAGTGTGCCGTGCTGTGGCATGTGGCATAGGAACACGGAGGCGACTGCTGCAACTGCTGCTGCTGCTGCTGCTGCTGTCAAAATGCCATTGAATTGCTTAAATATTTTCATCGTCGTCATCGCCATCGTCATCGCTTAATGGCTTGCCTTTTTTGGTTGCCATGTCTACCCCCAAACACCCAAAACCAAAAACGATGCTGAATGCTGAAACATATGTGAATGGCAGCCAGAATGGTCGGGATATGAATAAGGGGCCTGCTTGAACGAATGACTGACTGAGTGAATGAGTGAATGAGCGATATGAAGTGCAATCAATGCAAAAATGTTTTCAAGTATCCAGCCAACCAGCCAGAGCATCCAGAGCATCCAGAGCATTCAGAGCATCCAGAGCCAACACGAAGGCTAGACAATCCCTGCAACAGATGCAGTGCTCCATGGGGCATGGTAATGGGTGTGGGATGAGGACCTATTAGATGATATTCCAGCTCCAACTAGATGGGTGTGTGGGAGCGTTGGTGTGAAAGGATTATTCACACACTATTGATTTCAAATTGAGTTGACTTCAAATCCGTCTGAATTGACAGCAGCAGCAGCAGCACATGGCAACACATCCTCTCACTCCAGCCTCTCCCCCTGCGAGTATGTGTGTGTGTATGTGTGCTGCCGGAAGTTGACTAATGAATTTAATTTGCAGTGGGTGTTGGAGCAAATAGAGCGACAAGCGGAGGGTGGGGCTTGTGGGGCACTAGACATCAGCGAGGCAGAGGCAGTCAGCCAGGGAACTGACTGATTGACTGTCTGCCATTCGGGCCTGCCTCGATGCCTGGCTGTATATTTGTCTATCTGTTTGCCTGGCTGATGTTTCTGCCACAGCGGCTGCAAGTAGGCAACTGTTTTTGTTTGCCCACACGACTCCTTCACACAATTGATTGACATTGGCAGTTGTTGCCACAGAATGCCGTTTAATGGAATGCAGGGGGATGCATTCAATACATCTGCAATTGATTCCATGCCAAGGAAACCAGCACTACATATTGTCCAAAGTCTACAGCCCTCGCCCTCTCCCTCTCTACAGGGACAAAGAACACAATGGACACCGCTTAGTGTCCTTTTGGAGCAGCCACAATTGTTGCCTGACCAATGATCAATTTAATAGGAAAACAATATTGATAGCCAAGGGCTCCGTCGCTCCGTCTCTCCGTCTCGCCTCCAGAGAGACTTCCACAAAAGCGGCAGTCGCACAGGACACTTGAAGCCCCTTGGGGCCAGGAACTGAGGTGGGGATTGAGGCAGGGACTGGGGCAGGCGTAAGCGGAAGTGTTGCGGTTTCTGGTAAAGATTGGGGCACCCAAAGCCTCAATGGGAGTCCTGGGTTTTGTTTGTTTGCCTGCCTCGTGGGTTGGTCTGGTCGGAAACTTGCTAAACTTTTGGTGTTGTGTTGTAACTAAATTTGAGCAGACACATGCGAACACACCCAGGGCACCCAGGACACCCAGGACACCCAGGACACACAGGACACCCGGACACACGCGGACACACACTCGAGAGTCCCGGCAACACTTTCACTTGTGCGTAGCGCTCCTTGGCCTCCCCTCCCAATAGCCAACCCGTTCGAGCCCTGTTTGGTTTCTTGTGGTTTATTATTCACGCCTGAATTGATTGTAAATTAAAGTTTGCTCAGCCCGTGCGGGGCGGACGGCTCCTTGGTCCGTAGCCCTATGTGTCCTTCGTGTCGTTGTGCATTTTGAGGTCAGCCTATGGCAAAGTTTTCTTTTGTGTGTGCATTGGATCTTGGGCCGGGTCCGGCCTTTGTCCGGGCCACTCATCGCCCTTGTCCGCTTGTCGGCCCTCTGTCCTTGGTCTGCTTTCTCTGGTTCCTCCTGCTCCTTCCGTTGGCTGCTTAGTCCAAGGGTCCTTGCCATATTAGAAGCCAAAAGGCATTCAAGTGCACATAAGACGATTACACATCATTTAACCGACGCACTGCAAAACTATGAGGCGCCCCAGAGCCCATACCCCAGAGCCCCGGACCACAGTTCCCAGTCCCCAGACCCATTGAGGGTCTGTAATTGTTGCTCCTTTGCTCGCTTTTATTGACTGCTGCATATTGATTATAGTTACGATGCCTTCGTCTTGCGCCGCCCCTGCTTCTGTTTCTGTCTCCTCCGTCTTCCTTCTTCCTTCATCTTCCGGCCAAAGAAGTTCATTTTCGCCTTCTGTCGGGCATGACTTGACTTGATTGCTGGCATTTGTCGTTCTTGTTTAAAATTCAATCGCTGCACTCAAGTGTGTACGAGATGTATTCATGTGTACATCTCTCTCTGTCTGTTTGTCTGTGTCTGGGTCTGTGTCTGTATGTGTGTGGGTGTGGGTGTGGGTGGAGTGGAGTGGGTCTGGGTGCGTTTTGAGACAAAATTAATTTGGTGTTAATAAAGTGAAAGTGTGGCCTTCCATTCACAGTTTGTCTGTGCGAAATTGTTTTCAGTTCTTGGGTCTTTAAGACGGCTTATAATGATTGGCATCCCACAAACTTTAAGCATACACACTTGGTGGCAGGGGCTATTCTTGCGGTATTTATTGCTGCTGATCTTTTTACGGGGACTCTGGGACTCCGGTAGCTGACGTTTCGCTTCAAACGAAAGTCCAACTCAACTGTACTTATTCGAGTACGATCCAAATATTGAATATTCCGTTCACCGGAAAGTGCTGATTGTTTTTATGCACACACTGTATGCTCGAGCGAGATTAAAAAATGTATGAAACAAATGATCGAAGCCAGAATGGTGGTATGGAATGGTAAACTCAGAGCAGAAAATGTTTTTCTACCACGCACTTCAATATTTCCAACAGACGTGCTAATCCAATTCAAACGGATTGAATTTCCTATTCGATTGGCATTCGCAATGAGAATGGGCAGCGCGCATCTTCGCCATATTGGCACTGGATGTGATGCCCAGGATCTAGGAGGTTCGCGCGTCGTCATCGAATTATTGAAGCCACTGCGATAATGCCGTCTCCTGATGTCGCCTCTTGCATCTCTCCTCTCTCGAGGATCGAAGGACCATTGCGGCTCAGATGTTTATTTATGACATTGGGGAACATCGATTGTCCTGAACTGCTTAGTAGGATTAGCTTCAGTGCCCCTGTCAGGAGCCTAAGGACCCATGCAGCCCATTTGTAGGGCGCTTCGACAGCACAATGCGCTGCCAGCTGGGATGCCTTTTGGCTTTTGCCAGGGGAAGGGAGCCGTCTGACGTCATTTTCTTAAGTTAGAAATAAGTTAGTGTAGCCAGATAAGGATTTTTGATTCCGTTGGCGAATAAGAATCATGGCCCATCATATTCCGCTAGATCTTGCCGAGCCTCGAGGCGGTTGTCGACATGCGACGACAGCAGGCAGCCAGGCCCACGCTCCCACTGGTTACGATTATCGAGTTGTTAGGTTTAGTTTTAATTTTATTGGGTCGTTCTCAGAATAATATGCGAATATAATGTTTCTGTGTTCCTGATCCTGGGGCTGTCCCTTTTGGTTGGGAGATGGGATGGGAGGAAACGTGCGTCAACTTCTGCTTTTTAAGAAGCAAAACTTTGGATACTTGGCCACATTGCTCAAGTGTTTTGAGGCAGGGACGCAGGCATGCACTCGACGGCCCGGGTCCACCTCCGATGCACAGTTGCTGTATGTCGAGTGCAGGCGGGAGACAGTCGGGAGAGAGCGGCTCCTGCTCGGACATCAAAGTTGCCAACTTTCGACTTGAGGAATTTTCGACAAGGCGACTTGGAACTTTTGTTACTTTGCTGCCGAGCCGGTGGAAGATACCTGAGCGAAGGCAGAGGGTCAGGACAGGCTGCAGAGAAGAGAACTACGCCGGAAAAGGAGGTGGAATCAGAGGCAGAAGCCAGAAGTTTAATTGTTGTGTGTTGTCCTGCGCCCTGGCCCTGGAGCTGTGCTCAGGTGTCCTTAGTGGTGTTCTAATTACTAACAAACTTAATTTGCTACAAGTTATTTTCTTGCGGACACCGCTTGCCCTCGCCTTGCCCCTGCCCTACCTTGTCCCACAGCGAACTGCATGACCATAACCACTAGAGTCGCCACTCCTCTGCCTTGCCATTCGGCTGGGACACTTAAGCCACACGCGGACCCTTCTAGAGGAGTCATTCGGTGGAGAAGTGCCCATGGAACAGGCTCCAAAGGCTTTGGCAGCAATTCTAGGTCTTAGAGCCCAAAGAAACTTCGAGGAGCTCCTGAAGGGTGGATTGCGAACACACCAGCGTTTCTACAGAAGATCTTCTGCCTCAGTTCCAGTCAGAACCTTCTGAATCGTCTGCAATCAATGAAATCTGAAATCAATGTTGCTGGTCCTCCGTTAGGGGTTACCACAACCGGTTTGACGGACCCTCCACAGAGCCAGAGCAATGCGGCCCACCTCTACGTTTGAGGAATCGAAGAAATTGTCAAAGCAGACTTCCTGTTAACTCTTCAAATATTATATTAACAGATCAAATTGATAACAAAAAAGCATCATTCGAACACACATTATTCACGGATCATTTCCTGTCAGACCACGCAAAAAAACTACAGCAATTTATTTAACTTGTACCCTATTTTTGAATTTTTTTGGTTTGCAAGAACATAATTTGTTGTGTAGATTGTATGGGGAAACAAATTGATTAGAAACGACGTTTCAATAAATCAATGGCTTTCTTAATGCCATTCTGCAATTTGAGAATCTCACTCTCCTTTTGCTTAGTTATAGATTCTTTTCGCTTCTGAAACTCTTCTTTGAAGTTATCCTTTCCCATGATCAGTGCCTCTTTGAAATCGAACTTCTTTTGCTGTATTGTTTCCCCCAGATTCAGCATGTTTTGCCCAAGCTTAGCCAAATCCCCCAATAGGTCCAGGGGGAGCTTGTGAGGAGGCATCGGCAGCACGGCATCGTCTGGGTTTTCTTGCTTGCCCTCATACGTCTCGACAACTGGCCCACGAGGGCGTATGTCCTTGGGCGACACGGGCAAAGAGCTCTGCGGCATGGGATCGGTAATAAGTTGGTTAAAGCGCAGCTGCTGAACACAAACAGCTGGAAGTCGCAGCATCTAGTTAAATATTAGGAAGGAGAGCGGTATGTCAAGCTAATCAATGGTTATGCAATGTTTACTGTTCTTACCTTATTACTATCAATGGGTTTCATTAAGATAAACAAAAATGTTTCCTGGTTAGATGTTATCGGTTTGAAGTCCAGCGGTGAATGATTTTTGGAGACTTTTTAGAAACTAGCACATTGACATATATCTTTAATTTATTTCAAGCTTGCTTTGATTGATGATTTTCACATACTTTTTGCCTGGTTTAGAATCGAGGAGGTTTTACTGTGTAAAATGTCAGACTGTTATTCATTTTTTCTTTACTTACTATGCTGTCCGGTAGAAAAATATATATTTTTATTGATGATTTGACTTTTACTTCCAAGCGGTTTCGATTTTTTTTTCGGGTATACTTTTTTAAAAAATATAAATATTTTTGTCCCGTCTCCGAGCTGTTCTGTTGACGACAGTTAGTTTTAGAATGATTTTGTGAGATTCAAAATATTGAATGTTGACTATAAATACATATATTCAATGGGCACTATGATGGCTTAAATATCTATGTACCGAATACTTGTGTATGTAGATTGTTTTCTAGACTGGTAGAATGTTTTTCCCGCATTTTAAGAGCGAATCTGGATTCGTGTGCAGAGTCCAAAATACATAGGGATAGGACGCTCTGGGAAGCCGCGCACGAACATTTTTTTTTGTGGTGCTGTGGTAATGTTTGATTGATTTCTCCAGATGATGTATCCATGGTAAATGTTGATCCCGCTTTATTTTAATTCCATTTGGTGGGGGTTGATTTCTATAGTTTTGACCTAAACAAATAGGCCATCCATTGTCCTCCTGGCTCCCTATCACTGACAAGGGCAGCTTCTGCCTTTAACCGCTCAAGGAACGAGACTCGTGTCTCAAGACAGTGTAGACGTGGTCAGGTCTGAGCTGGGATGCAATGTCCATGTCCGTTGTAAATTATGCGCTTTGGCTTACAAATTGCATGTGCCTGGCAGCATGAAGCATGTGGCAAGTCAACTGACTGACTCTTGCCAGGACTGGGTCTGACCAGGGGAGCCGAGGAGCAGCATCGTCACCTACCCCACTGGTGCTCCACCTCCACCTCCATTTCATGCTGCATCTTACGAGTACGAGTGCATCTTTCGACTAATGCGTGGTCAAAGTTGTTTGCCTGTCCGAGCACCGAGCACCGAGCACCTAGCACCGAGCACGGGGGCGGTGTATTCAAATGAGCGGCTGGCAACTCTTGTGTTTTGTGGTACTGCTAAACTGGCGAGGCAACTTTCTTAGACATACTTTTCTTATGGTCCCTGGTCGCTGGACAGCAGGATGGCCGCCTCAAAGGCAAATATTTTATGCTTTACGTGGTTGGGTTACTTGAGAAATTACGTGGTCCGTACGCCACTCCTCCTCCTCCAGCTCCACCACAGCTCTTTCATTGTCTTTTGATGGTGCTTCGTCTATGCGATGGGTTACCAAAGGGACGGGGACCTGCATTAGTATTTAACATGAGCTGCCTAAAAGTATGCAAAGTTATTTCTTGCTCGTTGTTTCTGTCTCTCTCTTATGATACCCTTAAGATGGTACTCTGAAAGTGAAGTGCCATTTCTGCGAGCATATGTTACCCGGAAAAGAACGCGCTTACGATCCTAAAGAGCATTTATAGCAATGAATTAAGAATGTAGGTCTTGGGAGCTATTGCAGCCTAAAAGTATGCAAATATATATCTTAGTTACAGATGTAACAGAGTTACAATTCTGCGAGCGTATGCAACAAGCAGGAGATTGCGTATACGATACATTGTACCTAAATCTTAGAAATCATAGGAGTTTATGTGCATAAATTGCAAGATATCCACAAATATGGAACAAGATATTATTATTGATTATTCAGCCTGAACGTCACGTTGCTCCAGCTACACTAGTTATTGATTACGATTTAGGATATATTTCTGTCTACAATTGCTTAAAAAATATAAAAAAAATAAATCTACGATTGAAGATACTACTAGCTGAATATTCGCTCAACCTATTCCAGACTGAATATAACTTTTATATGGCATGTACTTAAGATATGCACCATTTCCCCAGTAGAGGGTAACATACGGTCTATTCTGCTCTATCTAGTTGCCTCAGTTGTGTGCGGTGGGTTAACTTAATGTTATGTTCTAACTCTAAACGCATCCAACTTGACTTTTTATCTTTAACCGCCCACCACTTCTTGACCCTCGACATTCTCGAGCCCCCCATTCACCCCCATTCTCGACTCCCCTGGAGTCCTTCGGCAAATGCTTTTGTGTACTTAGCGGCAGTCGAAAAAAAGTTGTAAAAATCGTGTAAAAAATTCTCGCACACAAAACGTGCAAAATGCGTTTTACTCGTAGTTCCAGCAACCGGCAGCAGCCCGATCCGATCCCCCTCTCTGACCGAACTCTAATAATTTATTTTAATGATAATGCATGGGAGCCATTCTGGTGCAGGTTCATGTCCAGATCTAGTTTCGTGGTTGGGGCTGTGACTGGGGACGTGGGGCTGTGGACTGTGGTTCTTCTGGGGTTAAGTGAATGCGTAGTCCGAATCCGAGATGGGTTAAGTGAGTGAGTGCGCCACACCCTCAAGACGGAGCTCTGCCTAAAACTTTCAACTTATAGACACTGTTCCTTCCCCCCTCACGAAGCAACCCAGAGGCAAGCCCACGATTCAGTTTTCGGGATATTGTTCGCCTAATGATATGCCTCAAATATTAAGTGCATGACACGCCCACTTGGACAGCGGCTGAGGACAGTTGGGGGCACCACCACCAGCAGCATCACCAGCAGCATCACCAGCAGCATCACCAGCACCACCGAGGAGGTGGACGGACGTACTCGTATAGCGCATCATTGTAAAACCCTTTCGGCGGCTCCCAGCTACAAGACAAGTGCAAAGTTTTCCCCACAAAAACTTTTATGGAAGCATAAAACTTGTGCATTTTTCTACAAAACAAAGAAGAAACAACCGAAAAACAAAAAAAAAGGGAAAACCACGCACACACTCACTAAAAATACGAAAAAAAAAAAATATATACACAGTAGCAGAAACTGAAACAGAGCTGGTCTCACTTTTTTCCCTCCTCCCCTCTTCTGCCTAAAACAAAATGCAAATAAAAAAGTTTTCCCTGCGACGGCCGCTTTTTCCAGCCACGCTTCTGCTTTCGCTCGCCTTTTTTATTACTTTCCCAAGAACTACTTGGGCTGAAGGTTGCCTTGGCTGTGAGTAGGGTGGGAGTGGGGCTGGGCTCAGAGTTGACCAATGGGAAGGAAGTTCTGACCCATAGTTGAAAATGTATGGGATACCCTCACAGGAATTTTAACCTCTTTCATTGACGTGAGCCTGTTGGACAGATCCTATTATGAGTAGATAATATTGAGCCATAACTTCTAGAAGTCCCATAGTCCTGGATGATATTTAAAGATATCTCTGCCAAAGGAAATTCAATGATTCTATTAGGGCGCTGTGTAAAATGTGCTATGCCAAATCAGAATGATTTCAATAATTGCTGGAGCTCTCTTCGTTCTGCGCCCCACAATCATATTCAAAATGTTTCCATTTCTTGAAGTCTCGGATCCCTTCGAAGATACAAATTTGTCCTGTTTTGGATCACTAGAAAACATCTTCCAACTGTGGATCTTCTTGCAGGACCTTATGCTTCTTCTGTTGCTGGTCATGGCAATGTCGTTTTCCATGTGTGTCTTCGTGAACCGTCCAACCGTACTCTGCAACCGTGGCGCAGGTGCTGAAACCACAATTCCATCAGCAATGTGTATGTATTTGGTGATCCCCAATATCCGTCCGATTAGCTTTATCTTCTATTTGTTTTTCAGCCCTTTTCAGTTCATTTGTGATCGGCGATTGTCTCATCTTAATAGGATATGCTGACACGATTCGTTCCATTATTGTCTTAAAACATTACTCAAGTAATATAGATAATAAATAAAGAAACAAGCCGGTGCCAGAATGTGCTCTATCGATAGCATAGTTTATTCCATTCTGAGCACATTGGCTCGTCGGACAACGTATTCAAGTAAGTTTTCATATGTATACGAGTATAATATAGATTATTTGGTCACGATTTGGGTTGGGCTTACACACCTCCCTATCTCCTATCGTCGCTTGATCACGTCCACTTTCTGCAGGGGAATGCGCTCCCAGAGCTGACGGAAGCCGGCATCTGACTTGCGCGGATTGAAATGTGCAATCGTGTCCCGGGTATAGCCTGTCGATATGGCTGGTGCTTCTGCGGAGGATTCCTCATCCACTGGGTGCCCCTCGTCGTTCACAAATGCTCCGTCATCCATGAACTCGAGCGCCATAGCCTGAGGAACCTCACTTGGATGTTGTATTCACTGATTTGCTGCGGATTAGGTCAAGACTCACCGCGCGGTTGAGTGAGGGGCTACTGAGGAGGGCCATGGCCAGTGCCAGCAGCAGCAGTAGGGGCAACAGGGTGCAACGGAAGGTCATAGTCGATATTTGGCGAATGCCTCACAACATTTTCCATTGACTAACGAAACTCGACTGACCACACGACACCGACATCCAATCCGACTTCCAATCGGATTTCCAATCGGCTCCACGTGTGCCGCATACCGAAAAGCTTCGTTGACCCTGCCAAGCGGTCGGGCAGCGTTTTATTTTTAGAGTACCGCGTCATTCCCCATTCAAACCCCATAGCCCAACCACCTCACCGCCCACCCAGCAGAGCCCATAGTTTGGCTAAGCTCTGGCCACCTCTCCAAACGGTTGACTCATCCGATTGCTCGCTTTAATGATGGCAACTGTTTTGCACAGTGAGCAAACTTTGGATACTCGCTTGGCCCGTGCGTTGAGGGAAGAAGCGTCACATAAGATCGAAAATCAAAACAACACATGGACTGAAACCATTTCTACCCGGGGTACTGGGTTATTTTTTCCAGTGTTGGCCGTAACCACTTCGACTGCGCCAAAGCAATTGTTTATAATTTTCATTTATTTGATTTGTGTGTGTTTAATTTCCATCAATGGCTGTGCAATTTATTGACCAGAACGCCACAAGGAAGAAGGTGTCGGAAATGTTGGGCCATTCGCGTGATGAATGAGTGCCATTCTCTTTCTGAAATAAAAACATTCATGAGCTGCAAACGGAAATGGAGATAACTGAATATGCGTAAGAAGTTCTTTTGAGTCTCATAAAGATAGCAGCCCGTCAAAAGTCACGATTCGTATTAAATGCACGACTGCAGTCTGAAATCTTTCCAGCACGAGGTCCTGATATGAGTAGTCCCCATAAAAAGGGCCAGCTCAGGTTACTTCAACATCAGTTTCAAGCAAGCCCTAATCCACACCAAGATGAAGCATTCTTTTGCTGTCGTGGGCCTTCTCCTGGCGCTCTACAGTACCCAGCCCTCTATGGCAATTGGGGGAGTAAGTACTGACTCAGAATCGTCTCGGACCAACTCACATTTTTCTCTCGATCGTTTAGCCATGCGATCTAATGTTCGATTCGGCAAAGGCTATGTGCGAATCCGGTTCCATTAAGAACAACTGTGCAGAGATTAACCAGGTAAAAAGTGTCCTGAAGTAGCCTGAATTTAATCCCATCTAATGCACTTCTCTGACAGGGCATCGAGGCCTTCACGAAGCTTGTTCAAGCCGCCCAATCCAAATTCTGCGCGTTCCCGAGTCCCATTTGGTTACTCTGCAAGTACTGCAAAGCCTCAGAATCTGGATCATCTCAGTTGGAAAATGAAAGAAACGGAACAGCTCCGGTTGGAAACGAAATCGCTCCAGCAGCAGAAACCGTTTCTCCACCCGTCGTTCGCTCTTATCCCCTTCTTGAACCCATTAAACTCTACACTCATGAAGCTTGAGATCAGCAATAGGTAGATTATGGAACCTCTTTGGAACTCTTTATATTTTATCCACACTATTCTTATCCTCGTTTCTTGCACACTGGCATGCCAATTATTCAAATATATTCCCTAGCAATGCAGTTGTTTTAATGTTATTATTTTTGGGATCGACAAAGAAAGTATTCTGGGTCTTCTGCCAATAATTGGGTTGTGAACTCTGAGTAAATTATCTATTAGATCAAAAATTTGATGCACTTCCCATGACTCTAGAAGCTCTTCCGTCTTCTCCGTCTTCTCCTTCGATCCCTCTCTCATCACATAGATTGAGTCATATTATGCAAATGCTCCGGAAAATAGCTTCCTCCTGTATGTGCTTAACCATCGATCATAGCCATCCCTCGAAAACCCACTAATTTCATATGCTTAATCACTCCCGAGGATTCCACACACCTTTGCAGAGTGGCCATGTCTGAGTTTCGGTAAAAATTCAATTAATCGCAGCCTTATCGGGCACTGCATCGCTTATGAACTCATGAGTACATCGTGCCACGTACCACGTCCATCCGCAACTGGAATACGAGTATGTATGTATTTAGTGGCCACAGTTAAAGATCGTTATCCAATTAGTCAAAAGCTCGTGTAATAAATTGCCCGAATTAAGGTGTGGAATTTTAATTACATAATTTACGCGTGCGTTGCGTGGACATCGATGATGCGATGCGCGAGGGATGGTCCGACACTAGCCCTCTGGAAAACCACCGAAAAAGCGAGCAAAGAAGCGAAATGAATCGAGCGAATGAGCGCCGTGCAGTCAAAGTGCGTTTGATAGCTCATCTTAATAGAAAAGTACACGCAACAGCCGGGTCATTAGAAAAATGACAGTAATAACAATAATTATGAATTTTATCCGATTAGCGAGAAGAGTCGGACAGACAGGCGGCAAGGGGGTGTGTTTAAGTCAGAAGTCAGTGGTCGGGGGCAGGGGGAGGTTACCTGCTTGGACATATTCAAATATTTAGTGCAATGCGTGCCATTGAACAATTAATTCTTATCTAGTTGGGCTGATGCAACAGTCCCGTCCCGGACACAGAAGCGAAGCGGAGCTCCTCCTTAGCCACTGACTTCTGCTTTCTGTGGCATTTCTCACATGTCATCGTCACCGCCATCGCCATCGCCATCGTCCCCGTACCGCCAACTGTGGGGCAATTGCGTGTCAAATGCGCTCAATTTTGTTATGACAATGCGATGTAATTAGAGGCCACGCATAGGCCTGCTGCTGACGATGATGACCAGAGCCAAAGCCCCTAATATATGATGCCCCCTGTCCGATTCTGAGTCCTAGTACGTCCTAATCGCGCTCCCCGTCCAGGTTTTGGGTGTGTTCGCGCACTTGATAAATATTGTAAGTGGGTGCTCAAGCCTGGCCCCCTGATGATGACCGAAGTGTGAATGACAGTGGGCTGCGGTGGGGTCTTGATATAGGGTTGAGTGGGCATTTGCATACGTGTATAAAGAGTGGTGATGGTGGATCAGGGAGTGTTATTTGGAAATAATTCAGTTTTGGGCCAGGGGCTTTGAAGATTTTCCTCATTTTAAAATGAGGACCGAATCCACTTACTACTCTTGTAGCATATGCATCAGATGCTCTTTGTCCTTGGGATATACTAGTACTCGTATTCGTATTCGTAATATTGGATTGAGTGCTTTGGCTGAGGCGCATACCTCAAAACCATGGTCGCTGGTCGCGGGCGAAAGCAAGTCGGAGGCAACTAATTAAAACCACTTAGCAAATGCTTTCTCAACTGTAAAGTTAGCTATAAACAACGAGCCACACACACACAGGTGTAGGGCGAGAGACATATGCAACTTGAAACAAAATTAAAAAGCAAAAAAGCAAATAATTTTCATGGCATTTCCCAGCAGCAGCCGCAACAGCGGCAGTGGGCTGAAAAACATGTAGGGAAAACGTAAAGAAAAACATGAAATTCCAGCATAATTCCAAATAATATTACAACACCTGCGAAACCGTTTTGAGTGGGCCAACCCAAAGAGAGTGAGAGGGTAGCGGGTAGAGCGTAGTTGGCAGGTTATGTGGCATGCACCCCCGCTAATGGCAAAAAGGGCTTTTTCTTGAAAAACCGCTCCACTGGAATTAATTAATTCGCCGTTGACGCTGCAGTGAAAAAAGCATAAAAATAAACAAGAAATGCGAGAAAAATCAGTCAGCGAAATCAAAAAGATATATACACCCCCGCTCGCATACATACTCGTGCTCGTACTCTCAGTAATAGACGAATCCACAGAGACCCTACACATCTAATCACAAGCATCACGGATATTTTGTATACTTTGAAATCAAAATCTGCACTCGCTGGCCTTCCTGTTGTGTAACTTTCAAAATGAGGACGGAGTTCCGCCTGGATGTTCTATTATATAGGAGATCCTCTTGGGGAATCTAAGCCCACACATCTGTACACTCCTTTGCTTATATCCATCTTTACACAAATCACTGATTGGTCAACCATTCTTTATTGACATTCCCGTCTGATTAATTTGGAGTCAAGAGCTGTGTCCCCGTTGTTAGATATGGACCAAGCCCCAACCGAATGGATGTAGCGCAGAGAGTGAGTATTTGTAGTATTCATTTGGTGAGTGGCGTGAATAAAATTTCACCTGGTGTGTACTCGTACTCTGCGACGCATGTTCAAGGTGCAAACGCATACAATTTTTGATTCTGATTTGCTTCTGTGTGTGTGTGTGTGTGTGTGTGTGTGTGTGTGTGTGTGTGTGTGTAGTACATACATAGGTGCTCGGGTGTACATTTTCTGTACATCAGTACTGGTACGGGTGTACGGTTATGTGTCTCCAGCTGTGTAGTGGCACTTGCTGCTCATTTTATGCTTCGATTGGCACAAAAGTGCAGACGCTTTTTGCCACAGCTGAAGCTGAAACTGAAGCTGCCGCCTGCATCAGCAGCATCAGAATTTCCATCTGCCAACGCGCAGATGGAAAAAATGGGTACGATAGGGGACGTCAAAGTGCTGTGGCAAAATAGAGAGAAATATGTAGATGCATCCCCCATGCAACCCCTCATCAAACGAATCACAGATCGTTTCTCGCCAATCGCATTTCAGCGTTGCATACTTTCGGGCTGCCGTCGATCAATGATCGCGTGGTGTAACCGAACTTTCATTTGGAACCGTAAGGCAACCCTGCCTCTAATGGTAGCAGCATTTCGATTACTTGGAATATTTAATCGAGAATCAAAAATCAAAGTCATTTATGTTAATTTTCGGCTGGAGTCTGAACACACGTGATCTTCGATGCCTAAGACTTATTGAAACCCTTTTGGTTAAGAATGTTTTTTGTGACTCGGTCGATTTCCGATACGAAAGGCCTTCAGAAATCCTTAAAACTGAACCGAAAGTTGCTTCGATGTGTGATATTTTTTACCATAATCAGCCCATGACCGCCAGATAGGAATCTTAGTGGGATTTCCAGTTTCAGTTCATTTGCCAATCGTTGAAGCGTGGACAGCGAATCGTTTAGAACAAGTAATGATCCATGAAGGAATTCCCGATCTAGATGGAAGCGGACATATAAAAAGGCCAAACATCGTATACGGCCACCACATAACAGTATAACCGTAGTCCACGCGATGGCCCATCCAATTTGTGCTTTTGTGTGCCTCGCTCTATTTTTGTGCTTGACCCAGAACTGCTGGGCGGCTCCCTCCGGCGATGATTTGGCCAAGCTCGGAGAACTGGAGCGCACCATCAAGGAGCTGACCAGCTCGATACTGACCATGAGTGCAGGAGGAGCAGGAGCAGGTGAGTCCGGCCACTGACTTCTGATCGATGCACACCAAGTCAAATACTCTCCTCCATGTCCAGGCTTATTTGAGCGTAGCGTTGGCGATGTCCTGGCAGGCAGGGAGGCAGGCAACAGTGGCTGACCCGAAGGCAGTCGGTCCTAGGACGATGGCCATGGCCTCCACTCAGCTCAATCTACTAAACGGCGTTTAGCAGCTCTGCAGTTTATCCTTCATATCCTTTATTATTATTTTTTTGTTCCACTTAATAAAACAGCAATGATAGCTGTGCTGTATCCAAATCTTCTCCAATGATTCCCTCCCCATAGTCCCACCAAAATCTTATAAATTCTGGCAAATTGAGGTGCCACGGCCTACATAGCGATTTCAATCCCAACAGAGACAGTGGCGGGTGCAAATTGCCAGCTAAATCTAATCAAGTTAATTTACGCAGTCGCACCCCATTCCGCAGTTCCCACTCGCATTACCCATTTCCAATCTCTCGATCCACAAAGTTGCCTCCAAGTTGAGCGCCAAGGCAAAGACAACGCGTTGGCTTAAGTGCCCGATGGCGACTCAATTTGCGGACCACTGACTCAATTAGCTAGGAAATAGGCGCTGGGACTGGGATAGGACCGACGCTGAGGCGTAGATCAGCTGTCCGTCTTCCATCAGCTGTTGGATCAGCAATGCCTTTGGCTATGGCTGCGGTTGTCACAGCGGTGGCTCCGAGTGTCAACTGTCGAGTGTCGTTTGTCGAGTGCTGAGTGTGTCATAATATCATTAATACTAATAATAATACTTTAGTTGGTGTGTGGCAACAACAACTACGAGTGCTACAGTTGGAGCCCAACAGGAAGGGGGGCATACATGGTTGGATGGATGGACGGATGATAAAACAAATCTAAATCAAAGTGTAACCAGACGCGGCTCTACAGAGCCGCCTTCCTTCGGTGTGTGGCAGTCACCTCTGATGCGTACCACAGAGCGGTGCGGTCAGTGCGGTACACCTTCAAGAAATTCGCGTCCATTTATCGATTGATCGGTAGTGCCCTGTTTTTGTTCGAGTGTCCAATAGTTGTGTGAGGTTCTTTGACAAAATGCATGTAGAGGAGCTGCGCGCCAGCCTACAGAGCTTTGGCTGGCCGGACTATCTGGTCTTTTGCATGATGCTGGCCATCTGCGCCGTGATTGGGGTCTACTTCTGCCTGCAGCTGCGTCGAGAGTCCCGCAAGCAGCGGGCCCACGGTGGCGCCGAGGAGGCGGCCAACAGTGCAGCCTCCTATCTGGTGGGCGGCAGGCAGATGAAGATATTTCCCATCACCATGTCTCTGATATCGAGGTGGGTATGAATTTGGGATGTCAAGTTTTCGTCGGATAGCCTATGGTCAATCGTATATCATTTATAAGTCCGATTTTCTAGATAGAATAAGCTCAAATTGCTTATAAAAATAAAGGCTTACAATTTCAATATACATATGAAATTAAACTCATTCAGAAAGTACCTTAAAAAGGATCGTTAGATCATATTAAGTCGTTCCTGATACAAGTATAAAATGAACCCAAAACGCAGATAGGCTTTCCCCATTTAGCTCCCAGTGATTTGGCGAACATCCCCATTAAGAGCATGCCGTTCCCGATCCCCCATTGTAGGTCGTAGTGTGCCCTAGTTTCTGCCTGTAGCGGCCGTCCGCTGGGGTTTATTTTTAGCAAACTCGTTCTCCTATCAACGCACCAAATCGGAATGTCTCATAATTAATAATTGGCCCGCAAAAGCTGGGCTCCGTGGATTGCCTAACGTCGCTAACGAACCAACTAACCCGCATGCAGGGCATTCAAATTGATGACGCTCAATTGCCTGCGCGACTGAGACTGCGACTGAGACTGAGACTGCGACTAAGATTCCGGACAATTTAAGCGACGAAGATGACATTGGTGCTAATTGAATTGTATAAAACGCACTTTGATCTCCCCTGAGATGACAGAGATCGACGACAGGCGACAGTACTATTGTGAAGGTCAAGGCAATTGGGAAACGTTGTACGGATACCTTCTCATGCCGAGCTGTTGTTGCAATTTTTACCACCAGCTTCATCTCCGGCATCACTCTGCTGGGCACTCCCACGGAGGTGTATCTGTATGGTGCCCAGTACATGTACATCATGGGCTCACTAGTACTGATGGGTTTCTGCATGTACTATTTATTCCTGCCGGTCTTCCATGAACTCAATCTGATATCCACGTATAAGGTAAGCTCCTCCGCCCTCCATCTTCCGACAGGACGTGGCCCGACTGACGGTTGACGGTCTCTTTGCAGTACCTGGAACAGCGCTACAATCGGAGTCTTCGTCTCTTTGGCTCCGTCATGTTCATTGTTGCTTCGGTGAGTGATCATTGCTTCAGTGCTGCATTGTTACGGTTTCTTATGAGATATCCCCTTTAGCTCCTTTGGCTGCCGATTGTGATCTATGTCCCGGCTATAGCCTTCAACCAGGCCACCGGGGTGAACATCCACATAGTAACGCCCATTGTTTGTGTGGTCTGCATCTTTTACACCTGCATCGGAGGCCTTAAGGCCGTTGTCTGGACGGATGTCATTCAAACCATCATCATGTTCGGCGCTATGGCTCTGGTGCTCATCAAAGGCACCCTGGACATCGGGGGACCGAGCGTCGTCTGGCAGAGGGCCCAGGAGACGGCACGCCTAGAGAGGCCCAACTTCACGCCGGACATCACCGAGCGGTATACCTTCTACTCCCTGGTCCTCGGCGGCGTAGCCCATTGGCTCAAGTCGAACGCGATCAGCCAGAACATGATCCAGCGCTACCTCTCGCTGCCAACCCTTAAAGATGCCCGCATCGCCATCTGGACCTTCATTGCCGGGGTGCTGGCCTTCCTCATGATCTGCGGCTACACGGGTCTCCTGATCTACGCCACCTACGCCCAGTGCGATCCCCTGGAGACGAAGTTGGCCAAGCGCAACGACCAGCTCCTGCCTTTGCTTGTAATGGAGACCCTAGGCTCGTATCCGGGTCTGCCCGGTGTATTTGTGGCCGGAGTTTTTAGTGCGGCCCTCTCCTCGCTCTCTACGGGACTCAACTCCCTCTCGGCCGTCGTTCTGGAGGACTTCGTGAAGACCTTCAGGAGTCAGCCTCTCACTGAGGGACAGACGGCCTTCGTGATGCGCAGCGTCGTCGTCGTCTTTGGCATCGTCTTCGTTGCGTTGGTCTTAGTAGTGGAGAAGCTGGGCGCTGTCTTGCAGCTGACCATCACACTCTCCTCGGTAGCCAATGGCCCGCTCCTGGGCATCTTCACGGCCGGAGTCATGCTGCCTTGGGTGAACTCCAAGGGAGCCCTACTCGGAGGCTTCAGTTCGCTGGTGGTCATGGCCTGGATGTGTGTGAGCGCCCAGCGAGAGCTGGTCACGGGGAATCTGGTGTACCAGCGGAAGCCCTACTCCACGATTGGCTGCAACTACACCTTTGCCGGCGAGCCGCGCAATTTTGCCAGTCTGCCGCTCGACGGTGCCTTCAGGTGGGGTCTCCTTTTTTACAGATTCCCTCACTCTTAATTTAATGGATCGGTTCTTTGTTATTTCTGCAGTCATGAGGCCTCCAGTGGACCCTTCCAGCTATATCGCATCTCGTATCTCTACTTCACCCTCTTTGGGGCACTGTTGACTATCGTGGTGGCCCTCGTCACCAGTCTGCTGCTGCGGGAAACGGACCTGGACGCTGTGGACGCGCGGCTGCTTACGCCCTTCGTCCGCCGCTGGCTGGAGCGACGTCGCCACAAGCAGTCACAGATCCCCTCCAGGACGCCAGATGGACTCGGACTCAAGCACAAGGCCACACAGGAGACGGCAACGTGAAGCGAATGGTGAATGGGTGGATGGGTGGATGGATGGATGGATGGTGGCTGACCAGCGGGTGGATGAATGTTCCTTCGGTAGCTTAGCAAATATTTAAAATAAAACACAATTCATAATTATTTGGGCTTTGTACCGGAGAAATGGGTTCAAAGCAGTTGTGCTTTGCTATCCTCTGTACATAATTAGAAAAATGCCCGCAGTTATTGTACCATTCCTGGAGATGAACCCGGAGCCAGAGCCGGAGCTGGACACCGACCCAGACTCAGACCCAAACCACTATCCGACCCGAGAAATCAAAGAGCTGGCTACCCAAATAGAAAACGAAAAGGAAAAAAAACAAAAAGGGGGAACCCGCTTTCAAGTGCCAGGCACGAGCGATTGAGTTTTGCGTTACTCTCCGGGCTGGGGGTCACTCTTTCTCTCTCTCTGGCTCTGGGGTGGATGGGGGCTACCCCAAAAAGGTTCCACATTAGTTTTACTTCTGCCATTAATTGAGTATTTACTGCGTTTGCATGTGTGGTAAAACTATTCTACGCCTTAGGTCGCCGTTCCTGGACCTGGTCCTGGTATTTGTATGTTTAGGTCGTTTATGCAGCAAATTGAATTGTTAATGAGCTGACAAATGTTTGCAAAATTAGTTTCTGTCCCAACCAGGGACCAACCCGGGATCGATGAGGAAGACAACCAATGGGCTGAGGGGCGTCTCTTCAATCCAAATCCGCTTGGTTCTTCAGCTCTCTGCAGTCCTCTTAATTAGCCGACTGCAAAAATAATTTTGCACAAAAGACAACGGCAAAATGTCATCAGAATGCATAATGACAGCCTCCGAGCTGGGCCTTTGGACAGGTGCAAATCTCGTCAAAGCGTGGTGGGGAGGGGAGGGGAGATGTGCTGCATGCGGCACAGGTGTGCACCACCTCGCGGCATTTTGAAAAACTATGTTGTATGCATGGCCAGTGACAGGAGCATGAGTAGGGACTGGGAATGGGAATGGGACTGGGACAGGGACAGCGACAGTTGTCATATGGGTGGATTGTTTTTTGGCCAGGGCAGGAAACGGATGTTAGCAGCGCTAACGTGCCATCCGAGCCGAGCTGCCGAGCTGCCACTACCAGCAACAACTACTGCAGCAGGTCCTGGCCAACAGCGACAGCCACAAAGGGCAAACAACTCCTCGCTCTGTTAACTTGTTTATGTCGCCGTGTTGCTTTTGTGTTACTTTTTATGCTGGAATATAATTTGCCCACTCCCTTTACTCACTTACTCTCTCTCTCTCCCCCTCTCTCTCTCTCTCTCTCTCTCTCTCTCTCTCTCTCTCTCTCTCTCTCTCTCTCTCTCTCTCATTCTCATTCTCTCTCTCTCTCTCTCGGCATAGAGCATATGTGTTCTGTAAATGCCCTCGGCCTGGAGTTTATCGCTGATTTGGTACCGTATATTTTTCAGAAAAGGATCTGCTCTAAAGAGGAAAATTCATTGTTCCTTGAGAGTTTCATTTGATAAACATTTTCAATCGCTTTTTTATGGTGAAACTTTGATCTCTTTTATTCTTCGATATTGCCATCTTCGGCTTATTTCCTTCTGAAAATTGATTTCTTTTAAAAAAGAATATCTGGCTGTTCCTCTCTAAGAAGTATTTCTAATGGGTTTATTCAATGATCTTCTGTATTTTTTGCTGATCGGAGACAAATTATGTATTTTAGGGGGAACTTTTATTTAAAATTCATATTTCTTAAATCTATTGCTATTAATTTTCTTGATTCCATGCTAATATTTTCCTTCTGTATCTATACATTCCATGATTTCTGAAATTCATTTTTCTGGATTCCTTCTGGGTTCCGGTATAGTTTTTTGCAATTATTTTCTTTGTAATCTGTCTCTATGACTTTTTCCGATCTTTGATCGACCTGCGAAAATGTTCCATTTGAGTCCATCTCTGATCTAGGAGTACGAGTATCTGCAAATGACAGTATCCATTCCACTCCTCCCATCTTTCTGTTAGAGCATTACATCCACAGCTGTACCTGTGGGACATTTCTGCGAACAAAGCCACTTGACATGTAGTTCGCCACCTCCGATCCCCTGCCTGGCAGCTGGCACTGGCGACTGGGCCTCCAGCCATATAAATGCCAGTGACAATTTGCAACGGGTCCCTGCCCCATTTCCCCTGCCCTGGCACTGCCCTGCCACTGAAGTGTAGTTTTTTTTTGGAGAGCAGGCACAAAAGTCATTTTTGATTGTTTTCATGAAAATGAGCATAGAAAAATTATAATTAAAATTCATATGGAAATTGTCGGAACAACGAAATGGAGTAGAGAACAATGGGCGACGGGTGGGGGTGCTGTAGTTGTTGCTGTAGTAGTTGCCGGCAACCGAAAGATTCCATCTGAAAGGACCCAAGAAATGCATTGCCCGAAAGGTAGAGGAAGAGGGGATCTGCGGGTTTATTGTTTGTGGGGAAACATAGGTTCCACACTCACTCGGCCCCACCTTGCCCTTACCCTTATCCTCATACAATCTTTTCCCGACTGCCAAAACAATGTCAGCTTACAGAACTAGAAGGAAAGCGGGGCTCTACCTGGGCTCTCCACACTTCCACAATGGTCCAGGCCGAGGACCAACCAGGCCCAGGCCCAGTACCAGTACCAGTACCAGACCCTGGTAGCCGGCCAAACGCATGCCGGCTGCTCATTTTCTTGTTGTCGTTTCATTTTTGGCACTTTTTGTGCGATAAAATATTTAATTATATTCGGCAGCTTCGTTTGTGCATTGTGCGGTCTGCCTTTGGCCCATTACCTTGGGGAGGATATGGAGGATGGGGTCTGGGGGCTGGGGGCTGGAAGACGGAGAATGGAGGCCGGGGCTGGAGTGCTTTTGAAATTACATTTCGAGTGGCTGCCCGAGAGTATGCTATTAACATGATTCCGCCTTCCGCTTGGGCTTTTATTTCATTCGAATACAGAAATCTAATTCGAATTCCATCGCATCTGCATCTTCAGCCAGTGGCTACTGTGGTGGCCGCCGTTGTCGTTGAGGTGGTGGTGGTGGTGGTGGTCGTCGTCGTTGTCGTTGTTGGGGTCGTCGCCAGTGGCCGCTTGACTATCGTTATCCGAATGCAGCCAGCATGATCCACATGCTCGCCAATGGGTGCTGCTCTAACTCCAAGTCCAACGCAGGCGAGGCAAAGCAGGGCCAACAGGAGCACCACGAAGCGGCACTTTATCGTCCTCATCTCTTCAGTTTGAGTGGAAAACTGATGGCGGCTCTCGCTCCGGCGATTGCTTTATAGAGAATATGTCCCATCTTGGCCAGCTAAATATGAGATGGACAGGGGTTTCCGTTCAATTGACTGAAACAATAAACAATCGGGTATGCTGTATCAACAAATGTGATTACAAATTGCAGCCTCACCTCACCTCAGTCATGGGTCACGTGCTGCGCTTCGTTCTGCTCTGTTCTGTTCTGCTCTCCTCTCCCTGATCCGTTCTATTCAGATAAAGGCAATTTCGCTAATTCCTACTAGCTTTATTCGCATTATTCCGATGATAATCGAATAGAGTACACTAGTTCTATCAGGTTTGCGGTGAATTCAATTATTCATCTACGCGAGCTTTTATATAGAGATCTTGTGAAAAAATCTTCTTGACAGATCGATGCGTTTCGAGGCCTTAATGTACTGGAAAAGCGTTTCAAAGTATTCGCGTGGGTAATTGAAAGAGCCAAAGATGCTTTTATAAAATCGTGACCTACGAGTATAAACATTGTTCCATTTACCCAAAAGGTATTTAAAGGTATTAATATTATTATTACTAGAGGGCAAGCACATGTGCAGGATCCAAAAAATTTGTATATAACAGAGAGATATTTTATTATATATTTTATTAAAATATATAATAATATAATAACAGTATCAACGGCATTTTTTGTCCATACGTAAATAATTGTAGGCGTTATAGCGGATAAGCAACACCCAAAAAATGCTGACATTAACATATTTCGATTTGGGTGTCTGGTCTGTCTCTTCCGTTCAATTATCTCAGTATTTTTCTAACTTTTCTAATTCCTATGACTTGGGAGAAAGGAAAGCTTGCTATAATAATATCAAATCAAACTATTGATTTTTGCTGTGTGACAGTGCTCTGTTTATTCTGAAGCTAATGTGCTTATACAACAAAGGTACGGGGTCATATTAGGGGTCGATCCAATCTCCGTATCCAAGGTTCTGCTACCCCGAGGAGGCTGTGGTGCTGGGTGGTGGTGGCGGCGGAGCACCACGTGGTGGCGGGGAACCCGTCGAGTTGCGATGGTGGCCCACACCCAGTAGTCCCTGGCCCAGGCCATGGCTCACTCCGGCTGCCGACAGATGCTGAAAGAGAGTGAAAATTCGGTATTAGCTAGGTACTGGAACTACTTATGGCTTTTATTCACCAGCAGACAGCAGCTTAGGACGAAGGCAAACAGCAGATAGAGACGCATCTTGATGGAGCTCAGGCGGTTCAATGGATGGCATTGGCTTCGAGGCTGCCGCTTTTATGGGCCGACCGCTCTCTATGTCACACCCACCGTAATTGCACTTGCAATTCAAATGACACATTAAAAACCTAATTGAGGTGTTGATTATGTAATAATATTATTTCAATTGTGAACCGCAATTATCATGTGCACTGAAGCCGAGACCCTCGCTCTGAAAAACTGGCTCTAAACCGACGTGGGAATGGGTCTCGGTCTGGGTCGTGGTCGAGGTTCTTGGTTCTGGGAATGAATATTTTTAGTCACCTTTTAATGTTTATTATGTTAAATGTAATTATATATTGTACTCAGTTTATCATTCCGATTTTTAAGCACAGCGACCAATACAGCCTTTCTTTGTTGAGAAATAATCGAAGTCTTCAAATTATATAACTTTTATACAAATCTTAGTTGGAAGACTAGAGCAAAGCCCTGACTCGACCTGGGGCACTGAGGGTAGTGGGAGCCTAGCAGGGACCTGGGATGAAGTTCGGGTTCTCTTCCTGGAGGGTACAATATTCTCTCGTGTATAGACGGTGAGCTTTGCCTTCGTGATTCAAATAATCTCCAATTTTAAGATGCAAAAATTAAATAATAATATTGGTATAATTAATAATAGTTTGCAATTTGAAGGACTTAAAGTTTTACATATCGCTTGAGCCCAAGAAAGAAGATGCAAGCAATAAGAATATTGCCCATTATTCCTAAGAGTACCTTCTTCGAAAATTGTATTTTCACCCACAAGACTAGAACCTTAAATAAATATGCATACATTTATATACATACATGTTGTATTTATTTATATATCGCTATAAGCCAGCCGTCGATGGCCACCATGACAGGGAAACCGCATTAGCCAGCCACTCAGGCACACGTCCCTATCAATAACGTATAGTAATGCCAAACTAATGAAAAGTGTCCCACAATTGATGTCCCTGAAAGCTATAAGCCAGTCGTGACTTGTCGTCAGACATTTGATGAACTGCCAGGACATGTCTGGTGCTTGGCTGGTCCTTGGATTGGGATTGGGATTGGGATTGCGATTACGTTCGAGATAAGCATAAACGTGTCGGGAAACTTTTATTGCCAGTTCCGTTCCTTTTTCCGTGGATCAGTCATCCCCATTCCCTAAGAAGGTGGATGGATGAAATCATGTAACTGAACTTTGACAGATTTGGCAGGGAGGCACAGCAGTCATAAACTACATTATATGACACCGCAAGTAGCAGCAGGTAAGAACTTGAACTCGAACTCCAAACAGGACAAACAGAACACGAGGGGTGAAACATAAAAAGCTTGAGAAACGAGGGGGAATCCATGGCCCACTTTTATTGGATTTTTATGATAAGCTCTCCGACAGGCAGCGAGAAAATCTTTGTTCCATTCTCTGTACTCTCATACCTACATATTTTTAATATTTTTGTTATTTGGGGATGATTCGAAAAGCACTTTGGGCGCAAATTGCAGCTGTTATCGCTGATTAAATGGCTCTAACAACGAAGAATAGGAAGAGAAAGAGAGTTCCGATAGCCATGATAGCCATATATTGCATACATATATCCACCACACAAATTGCAGTGCAGTGCGGGATAGTATCTGGCGACTGGCAATTGTCTAAGGGGCACAGACAATGCAAATCAAACAAACAATAAATTGAATCAGGATACATTGTTGAATGTAACAGATAGGTTTGGGCGAGCATCCGGCGACAGTGGCTCGTGCATCGTACAAGGCAGAGGCATGCACATCCTAGAGGCATTAAGGATATCCTTGAGTAGATGCAATTTTCTAACCAATATAATTCATAAATTTATTTTCAATCCTTTCCGCACATAAATTTTCATATTATGCACACACACATCGGTCACCCAGTCACCACTTCTCGTCCCGCTTCCACAATTCTTTCAGGCCTATTGTCCTGCCATGTCCTGTGTCCTGTGCGAGTGTCTGTGTCTCTCTCTCTCTCTCTCTCTCTGTGTGTATGTGTGCATTATTATTTGTCGTCGTGCTTGTCATTATTTATATGGGCAGGCGAGAGATAAGTTGCTGCAATTGTGGCCCACACACAGGGACCCACCTCAAGCCACATCCTACGCCCATCTTCCCGGCAGGATGCAGTCCAGGTCCTGGCAATTACACAATCCTCACAGATACTCCCAGAATCAGAAACAGAAACAGGCCTAGAGATGTCCTCCCTCTGTGTTAGTGCGAGTGCGTCTGTGTTCAGTTTGTTGGCCCAAAATTTTGATTTATAAATGCCAACACCGACCCGGTCGCCCGTTCCCTCCCTTCCGTGGCCTCCTACCTTCTGCCCCGTTGGCAACTCCTGCCCCAGGAAGTTGCAGTTACTTTTGCTGACAAACGTCCCCAGGTCCTGGCTCAGCGGAGAGTGCAACTCAAGTGGCCATTAATATATCAGTTCAATTCATATTTGAAATTTTGCATTTCCTACCAGGACGAGGCCTGCCTGCCTGCCCTGTGGACCTCGGCACAGATCCATGTCCAGTTGCCATTGCCCTCAGCCCCTAGCCCCCAGCCCCCATGCCCACGCATACGATTATGATTTGTGTCTTACTTAATGCACAGACGCACCAACTTTTGGGGCACTGAGAGAATGCGAGAGGAGCTTTGCAGAAAGAGGAGATGGCCCCAGATAGCCAATGGCCTTTCGATCATCTCGGATCACACCGGAATATCTGTGCAAATATTTATTGGGACATGCACTGGGTACCTTCCTTCATCGAAATACATAAAAAGAATGTTATATCGTGAGATAAATTATGTATGCAAATTTACTGCGAGTATAATGAATGAATTTGAGTGAAATTTCATTATTTAACTAAATTTAAGTTTAAAAAAAACTATAAAAGTATGACTTCATTTCGTTCTTTTAGCGATGATAGATATTATTTAGACTATCTTACTGTTGAATAGTTTCATATCCATTCATATTCATATGTAGGCTTGAGATCTTTATACTTTTGCGAGAGATACTATTTCCCCGCCCTGTGCCAAGGCTTATTGTGCTTATTGTGCAGTGAAGAAGATGGCAGCTGCTCTTGCTCTTTTCTCTGAGTGCATCCAGTGCATTGGCAAGCTGAGTTGCTGGCCCCGTCTCAATCTGATTGATTTAGAATTCCAATTGAGACTGCATGAAATATGTTTGCTTCGTGTCTGGCTTCTGCCTGATGTCGGCTGTGACTCCTTCCTGACCTGACCTGTTTCGCTCCCTGGTCCCCGGCTGTCCTCCGGTCCTCCACATTTATGCATGGGCATATCCTTTTGCGAAATTTGCATTTTCCAACAATTGCAAACGGCAGCAGCAGTAGCAGCAGCAATAGAACGAGGAATAGCAGCAGCAGCAGCAGGACAACGACAACGACAACGACGACGACGACGACTTATTGGTATTTCATTGATTTATGACACTTGTGAAACAATTTGGAAAATCACAGATTAGCAGCCAAGAGCCAAGAGTCTCGAAGCCGGCACTAATTACACCCTACGGCTCATTGGCCCGGCACCTTTGCTCCGCTCGGGGCTCGGGGCTCGGCTTTGGGGCTCACCTTGGAGACAGAAAACCTCTTAGTGCATTGCCAGAGGAACGGGAAGATTCTTTGAACTTTGTCATGTAAATGGGTCCAGAGCTGGGAATTAATTGCACACCCCGAGTGGAGTGTACGTGAACCGGTCCTAAGTAGAGGGCACGCTGCCAGTGGAATATTTTACGTAAATACGAAATAAAACTAAATAAATTCCCAGCATTTTATTTGTTGGCTTTTGCCTTGGTGTATGAATGAGTGAGGATGAGTGGTGGGTTGTAGGTGGCGGCTGGCGGCTGGTGGCTGGTGGGTGGGGAGTTCTTCTATCAATCATGCCTATAAATCAGAGCTTTTTGGAAAAACTCCTAGTTTTATATTCATACTGGTCATATTCTTTGGCTGTTCTTTAGCTTCGGCTATTTCATTACCTTGAATCCACTAAAACTTGATTGAACCATCAATAATCTCAGTCAATAAATAATGTTTAAATTGCATCAATAAGTTTTTGAGTTGTTCCTTTCAATCAATGCCAAGCATGTACAAGCAAGCATTACGGGCTATTATCATTCAAAATGAGAAACATTTCCATGAGTACTACAACATCAATTACAGCATAATCATCATCATCAATAGGTGTAGAGCATCAGCAAGTGTCGGACAGACCGAACAGCCCCAGAATGAATGGAATGGAATGGAATGGCTCCTTCATCATCATCTCCATCGTCCTGAGGCATTCCCTATCAGAAGTTGAGACCTGCCTCGAGTGCAGTGGAACAATTGAACTTTCCCCTTGCCACATCTTCAGCCCCCTTCCGACCGGGCATCGTCTTTGCCAACTGCGACTCCAACTGAGATTTATATGTCAGCAAAAAGAGGGACGGGGAGGGCATCCCCTTTGTACGGCTGTACGTGCAGTGATTAGCCTACCAGGCTACAAACGATTTGTTGCATGTTGTTGCAATTGATTGTTGCAATTTCAATTTTGAATTATGAGGCTGCCTGCCAAAGGGGCCAAGGCACTGCCATAGCCCATTGCACATTGCCCACTTGCATTACCATTGCCTTTTGCAGCCTTGCGTCCGTTTCCGTTTGCCACTCTCTCTCTCCCACTCTTTGTGGGAGATGTGTGGGTGGGTGATGTTTTGCATGTTAAGCCTCAGTTTTCGGGGACTCTGGCTCTATGCAATGTGTTGCAAGTTGCATTGGCAGCGTCATTCAAGTGTTTAGTGATTTATTGAATGCCGTTAGAGTTGTTGTTTCTGCTGTTATTGCAGTGGCACTGCCACTGCCATTGTTGCCTTGCATCCAGCATCCAGCATCCTCTGTCTCTCTGCTGCTTCCCTGTCTCTCTGCTTTTCTGTCTGTGCTCCTCTGAGATTAGCACAATGGCTTTGAGCACTTTTGACAGCCAAGATTTGTTTATGCCCGGC